GGAAAACAGACTAATAATGTGTTTTATACATTCTCGTCTGTGAAATGCGCCACTTCCGGTATTTTGCAGGTTAGTCGACGCAAGCAAAGTTAAGTCGAGGATTTAAAAAAATTGAATAGTCTAATAAAATCGACGAATCGCGACAGCCCTACCCACAACATTAAAGATCCAGCAGTATATGTAACAGTGGGCACGGGGTACTTTTTATCCCTGTTTGTACTAAACCCATCTGGTGGGTTTGCTGCCAAAAAGCTATTTTTTTTGGTTTCATCTGACCATAGAAGCCAGTCCCGTTCAGTCGTGTCTGACAACTGAATATGCTGGAGAGATTATGTTTGCGTGAATACTTAAATACTGTAATTTTGTGTATACTATTATAACTCGTACTTCTATGAGTAATAGTTATAAATCTGAAAGTCTTTTTCCTTTGGGAGGGATCTACCTACCAACTTCTCACAATCATTAAACTGGTTGAGGTTGAACCATAGAACAGACAACTGATTTTCTTGGCAGAGATATATTATGAAAAAGAAAAACAACAAAAATGAAATTCACAATAATAAACCCCAAAGCAAAATAACATACCATAAACCAATTGTACAAAAAGACCCAAGAAAACCAATACAAAAATATGTCTATATACAAAATGAACAGTTACAATATGAGCACGAAATGTTCATGTAATGAAGATGGTTATACTTATATGTCCCAGTCCAAAAATGAAAGAAGAAACCTTGTAGAAAAGGCAGATGTAAATGGTTCTTATCCTTGTGATTAATATCCAGTTTCGATGACCCAAAGTAAGGAGATGCAATGCAGGGAAATGAGTCCTTTATATTTTCAAGATGTACCATGCAGTAGTAAATGCACCATTGATACAGCTAAAGAGGATAGGTCAAAGGAGTCCTTCTACAAACAACATATTAACAAACATTAGAATAAACCTCAAAACCATGAAATGCAATTTATACAGCCACACTGTGAATATGCATAAAAAAAGGACCTTATTTTGATTGAGCATAAAACAACATGTTTCCCAATCAGGACATCTCAGTGAAACTAAGGCTACAAGAGGGAAGCCATACTTTCCTCTTACCAAACAGCTCTCTCTTCTTCTACCACCTAACTGTATTTAAACTTAGCAGAAGAGTACCATAATGTCCCCTAATGATGGGTAGTAGAATAACACCCTAAGTAACATTTAACTGTTACACTATGTGTATATTTATCGGGATAGCGTGCAGTCGGAAGCGCGTTTATGATGAGCGTGAGAAATGAGCAGAGAAAAGGTAGCCTACTCCTCTCAGAAAACGTTCAAATAAAGGTAATTAAACATCTACAATTATTATTTAGAGCATTGGGATCGATACGCCATCTTGAGGTACACTCAAGATGGCGGCGCGTTCACACGCTGCGGCTTCTCACTCTCCCGACAGAAAGGTGTTTTCGTGTTTTTTGTCTTGTGAGTCGCAGTGTTTTTGTACGTATTCGTCGCGTCTATCTGTCTCTAAGCGCGCATACAGTCGTGAGTTTCTGCTCGATGTCGGCAGAACCACATTTTTAGAGTTAAACTCTGCGCACGCCGAAGAGCTGCGGGATCTCGGTCTGCTCCGGAGGCCCACACCATCACCGACCCCCACTACTGCATCTCGCCCACAGCGGAGGCGCCACAAGCGGCGTGAGAGGAAGCAGAAGAGGGGTAAGCGCGGAGGTATCCGGGCTAGGCTAGCGGCTAACTCACACAAGCCAGCTATCCCCACCATCGTACTGGCTAACGTACGCTCTTTGGACAATAAACTGGACTACATCCGACTACTACGCTCAACTCAGAGGACTGTAAGAGACTGTTGTGTTTTTGTGTTCACGGAAACATGGCTCAACAACAGCGTTCCGGACTGCGCTATTCATCTCGATCAGCTGACATGCTATCGAGCGGACAGAGCTCGCGTCGAGGGAGGTAAGACCCGCGGCGGAGGGCTTTGTGTTTACATCAATGACGCGTGGTGCCGCGATGCTGTTGTGGTCTGCAAACACTGCTCACCCCTGGTGGAGTTTATGATTATTAAGTGCCGGCCGTTCTATCTACCGAGGGAATATACAGCCATACTGCTCGTTGCTGTATACATCCCTCCCAGCTCCAACAACAACAACAGGAGCGAGGCACTAAATGAACTGTACCAGCACATCAGTGAACAGCAGACAGCCCACCCCGATGCTTTTCTCATCTTGGCTGGGGATTTCAACCACGCAGACTTAAAGAGTGTGTTCCCAAAAATACACCAACACATAAACTTTATCTGTATTTATGTTCTACTGTTAGTGTTATCTGTATGCACCAAGGGTCTGAGAGTAACGCAATTTCAATTCTCTGTGTGTATGTGCTGTACATGTGGAAGAATTGACAATAAAGCAGACTTGACTTGACTTGACTTGACTGATAGACGAGGGATTAATGAACTCATTTTTGTGAAAACCTCAAAATCGACTAAAATCAATATTTTTCTCCTGTTTTGCCTGTAGCTCAAAATTAGCCCATGCACATTCCGAATCATTTTACCAGCACGGGTCACATATAATTTATTAAATGAGCAATATTTGTTACTAAAATAAATAAATAAAACAATCAAAAAACATTTGCACAAAGCCGTTTAGGGTAGTGCCCCAAGTCTGTCTGTTTAGACATTTAAAAAAAAAAAAAAGAATTCTATTTAGCTTTATTTTCTAGTCATTTTAGTATTTTAAATTTTATTCATATTTTAAACTATTTAAATTAGTTAGGGCAACATTTCTTTAACATTTTTGTTTAGGTTTTTTAAGTTTATGGTTTTTATCTAATATTTTAAGTATTTATTAATATTTTAATTAATTTTTATTTTTAAATGTTCAGTTTTCATTTTAGTTTAAGTTCTAGTTATTTGCTTGCCATTTTTTATAATTTTTTAATAGTTCTTTTTTTTTCAGTTTTGATAATATAAGTACTTCAACTTATTCATAGTTATCTTAGCTGGTTGCCAAGGCAACATGTCAAATTTTTGTTTAGGTTTTTTTAAGTTGAATTTTTTTCCATCTAGTTTTTATTTTATTTCAGATTTATTTCAGTTAACGAAAATGATTTTAATTAGTTTTATTTTTAGTGTGCACTGTTGATTCATGCATGTAAATATGGCCAGTAGAAACTGCAGTGAGGATGTTTCTGTGGTTTGTATATCAGGTGGTACGATGCCTCAACAGTTACAGGCCATCCAGGTTCACCCTCAAAGCAGTGACAGCAGTCCAGAGATCAGCCGGACCTCCACCAGCTCCACTGGTACTTACAGCATCACCCTTGTGACGCACCGATACTGCTCTGATCAGTGACTTCAGTAAGACGTCTCCTCTGTCTCTCCCACAGCAAGCCACACCGCTACGATAGTCACTTCCTCAGTACCTTCTTCAGTGGCAGGTCACATGATGTACCCTGGAGCGCACGTCATGTATGCTACATCCACCCCTACCCTTGCCGACGGGAGTCTGACTGTGCTCAACACCTTCCCACAACCACCCACTGCAATGCACGTGTCCCACACGCCAGCCCAAGACTCAGGTCAGTCAGTCAGTCACAGCTGTGTAGGCATATCGGTGTGTCAATGTCTCGGTTGAATTGGCTTAATAAGATGCACGGATAGTCTTGGAACAACATTGAAAACTTGTAAATATGCTAATTCTGACATTTTGAACGCACCGTAATTTCATTGTTACAAAGCTCTTTGTTTTGTTTCGGTCGTGTTTAGGTGCAGTTCCTCAGATGTTTCTCACGGGACCTCCTGGAACTGTACAGATCCCAGTTTCAGCCGTCCCACTACATTCGGTAATATAGCGGACAGTAAAAATACTCTCTATGTACTTTCACTCACACAGTTTTCACTGGAAATGTATTGCATTTTTGTATCTGAAAGTTTAATGGGTTTTGTGTGTGAAAGTAGCTTCTGAAACTGGCCTATTAATGTTCTAGTTAATAGAAAAAACAATTTCTTCATGAGTCACGTCTTTTCTTGTAATAATGGATTTCTTTTTTTTTTTGTGCAATATTTCTGCTTCACAATTTTAAGGGCCAGATTCACTAACAGCGTGCGCCAGCGCAAACTGTCTTTTGCCATTAAAATAGTACTGTCCGGATTTACTAAAGACGCGCAGTAGGAGTTTCCCTTTCAGATGCAATATTTATGGGAGGACAGTATTAAAATGAATCATGATTTACTAACATTTGCGCTTGTCAAATTACTGGTATTTGCGCCATTATTTAACGCTCCAAAAAAAGCATGTCTTAAAGCAGATGCTAATTTGCGCTGCTCTTGGTAGATTGTGTTGGTCATTATGGAAATGATCTGGCTGCGTGCGTCTGTGTTTTTTAATTTGAGCATTGTCAGTAAATCACCTGCAGAAATTTCCACTCCCATCGGCGCTGTTTGAATTGTGCTCTCAAATTAATTTGTCCTGTTTAGTAAATCTGGCCCCAAGCCTTTTCTTAAAACTTAGCACCTTTATTCTCAGAATAGTACAATTTTATTCTAAAAACGTGACTTTATTCTCGTATTGTTACAACTTTGTTCTCGTTAAACACAATCCCTTTATTCTCATAACATTCTGCCTTTATTTTCGTATCAGTACACCTTTATTCTCATAATGATATGATTTTATTCTCATACTGTTATGCCTTTGTTCTTGTATTGTTACATCTTTATTCATGTTACAGTGTCTTTATTGTCGTAACATTAGGCTTTTACTTTAGTAATGTTATGATTTCATTCTTATAACATTATGCCTTTGTTTCATGTAATGTTATAAGATTGTTCTCAAAACACTGCAGATTTATTCTTGTAATGTTTTGACATTATTCTTGCAACGTTATGTTGATATTTTCAAATCAGTTTTATTTTCATAATATTATGACTTTATTTTTTAAACATGGTGACGTTACATCTTTACATCTTGGTAATGTTACATCTTTATTTTAATGTTATGCTTTATTCTTGTAACAATGCCTTTAATCTTGTAACATTAGGCTTTTACTCCTGTGATGACTTTATCATCATAACATTACGCCTTTGTTCTTGTAATGTTACAAGATTAGTCACGCCATGCCATTATTTTCAAAACAACTGCGCTTTTTGTTCTCAAAACATTGTGCTTTTATTGTAGTAACACTGTGCTGTCATTTTCAAAACATTAGCTTTATTCTCAAAACTTTTCAACTTTTGAACGTTTTGACATTATTCTCGTAACATAACATTTGTATTTGTATTCAAAACCATTTTGTTCTCATAACAAACCGATTTTCTCGAAATTTTCTTATAATGTTGTAACTGCTGTTTTTATTTTTAACGTGGCACTGAAATGCCGCTGTAGATAACTAACTGTATGACTGACAGTTAGGAAAGTGCTGTTTCTTCACGTTCAGCTTTGCCTGTATGTTTATGAAGACGGATAAGAGTTTTGTTTCTGTCCTTTCAGATGTTAATAAACCAGCAGGCCACCGGTAGCAGCAGCAGCACCCTCACGGAGCTGCGGGTGGTCAATCTGGACAATCCCAAAGCAGACTGACTCATGAAGCACAAGGCCGGTGTGACCGCTCACTCACACTGATTCTCCAAGGATCACTCATGCCATGCAATCAGACTGCCATTATATTTATTACTGCCTTCTCACTGCGTGGGGTTCAGAAACCCGTAATGAGGTGTAATGGGTCGTTTGAAGGATGATGGCATCTCCTCACGGACTCGTTTTGGTGGGTAGTGTGATAATAGATGATGTTTGTTCACACGCATCTATACTTCAGGATTTCATAGAGACGTCTGCACCATCACTGCTGGGTCTTCACCTGCTTTTGCAGAAAGATGGACAGTTATGTTCGCTTTCAGTAAATTCAAAACCTCTTCGCTGTACAACAGTTGAAGTATCTTCAGTTCAATCTTTCTGTCTTTTGGGGAATGCCTCTCTTGATCTGATTTGTAATTCACCTCCATACATTTTAAGATCTGTGAATCTTTTGAGATCAAAAATCGATACTTTCAAGCATTTATGCTGTGAAATTAGCATAGTTTTGGTATAGTTTTAATGGCGGGTTGTGTGTTATTTATCATTTTAAGGAATGTTTAACCCAGAAAGGACAATTCTGTCATCTTTTTCCATCTCTCATGTCATTTCAGACGCAAAAAAAAAAGAAAAGTTATTTTGCAGAATGTGCAAACTTCTCTCCATTTAAATAAATGGTGACTGATACAGTCGAGCTCCAAGTCCCACCTTTTTCTAATTTTTTCTTGTTGTCATTTTTAGAGCTCAGCAGTATCCATTCCTGTTTACAAGCATTGTCAGATTTGGAAAGACACGAGAGTATGAAAATTATGAGCGAACTTGCCCTTAAAGTAATGCTAGATACTCTTGCACTGCCATCAGCACTCACTAGGGAGTTCATCTACAGTTTGAATCCATCAGTTCTTAAACATCATGTCTAAAAATACAATTTTTTCATCCTCATCACGTTCTCTATGGCTTTTGTTACTCAATTAGAAGTTATAGGATACTCTAAAACGATCCAGTTATTTCAGTGTGCTGCTATAATTTGGATTGAAACATGATCCGTACTACAAAAATGTCAGAAAAAAGATTGCATGCCATTCCATGTTGTAATACTGTGCCAAACTATACTGTACGTACCGATAGCTGGAGAGAATCTAGCTGTCAGAAGTCGAATTTTCTGCTTCAAGGCTTCACATGCTTTCACTTTTTATGATGCTGTAAGAGGAAAACACTGACTTGCATTTGCACTGCATGACAACGTACCGAAAACAGCAGTGCTGCGCGATCATGTCAAGTGAATAAATGACACGGATTGTGCTCTCATGGCTTTAGTTTACCGAAATAATAAAATACGTGATGGATCTGCTACTAGGTACTAGAATGGCAAGTTTTGTTCAAAACAACTGTTGTTTTCACTGAAATCGCTTAAATTAAATCAAATGTAGTGAAAGAGTTTATACGTGCACCCATATATTAATATTGTAAATGGTTTTTTTTTTCTTTAATTTCTGTCACCTTAATTATGTGAAAGGATTATGTCAAATATTTCATTTGGTCATCCAAAGGGCTGTAAATCTCGACTTGTGTATGTATATATATACGATTCATTTGTTTTTTCTCCATAGATTTCACTCTTTCAGACTGCAAGTTTGGACCATAAAGCCTTTTTCTCGTACTGTTAAACGGATTTATATGGACCATGGCAATACCGAGAGTTTCAGGAATGTCGTCTTCTCTTTGTTTCGTGGCTTTTCAGTTTGTGGAACCGAGCACAACATGTCGACCTGTTTGACCAGCGCAAACCGGATAACGAATGAAAAAACATTGTGGGATTTATGAAGCGGCCAGAACAAAAGTATTTGACTGTTTTATTCAGTATTGATGCGTTTTAAGTCCAGGGGAAGACTTTCTTTAGTTGTTTATTATGTTCCTGGGTGAATTTCATGAATGCTTTCAAGAACTTGTCCAGGTCATATTTCACTCCCAACCAAAAGAAAAAATATATTTTGCATAAAATATTAAAGGAATAGTTCACCAAAACCTGAAAATTAGCTGAAAATGTATTCACCCTCAGGCCATCAAAGATGTAGATGAGTTTGTTTCTTCATCAGATTTGGAGAAATGTAGCATTGCATCACTTGCTCAGCAATGGATGCTCTGCAGTGAATGGGTGCCGTCAGAATGAGAGTCCAAACAGCTGATTAAAAACATCACAATAATCCACAAGTAATCCACACCACTCCAGTCCACCAGTTAATGTCTTGAGAAGTGAAAAGATGCATGTTTGTAAGAAACAAATCCATTATTAAGCTGTTTTAAACCATTGCTTACAGCTGAAATACGAGTTTGGATTCTCATTCTGACGGCACCCATTCACTGCAGAGGATCCATTGCTGAGACACTGATGCAATGCTACATTTCTCCAAATCGGTGTTTTTAGGTGAACTATTCCTTAAACTATTTTTTGTCTTGTGACTATTAACTACATTTTTGCTGTTTTGATACATCAAAACGAATTAATTAAAAGATAGTAAATTGCAATGTGTTTAGATATTGCGTTAGTATTTGTTAAATAGCTTTTAATTTATGAAAATAGTTTTACTGTATTACAGTAATAATAATCACCTTTTGAGAATATTTATTTTGGGAAAACGTCATGAAAATATTTTCACACTGCAAAAAATGTGGTTTTGCTTTATGTGAAGTATTATCATCACTGTTAATACTTTTTTTTTTTTTTTGTCGAGTGAAATATGACCTGTGTGTTTGAGTGTCTTTATATTGGCTGTTATAAGAAATGAAACTGTGTAAACACTAGATGAAAGTGTTGAATGTACTATATATACTGTATATGGCCCTTATTGTACATCGGATTTCTGACTTCCAAAAACTTTAAGTAGCTCAAATGGCTGCATTTGAAATTTGAATATTTCTGCACCCTGGATGTATTTAGTGGACTGTATATATTAGTTTTAATGTGAAGCACCGACATCTGACAGTGCTTTTTCTTTTCTTTCCTTTAGCACAGTGTAACCAGTCGTGGATGAATTATTTGCTTTATTATGTTCATTATCTTCTACAGTGCCATTTTCTGAAGAATTAGTTTTGTTTTATTAGATTGTTTGTTTTTGTATTACATGCTGGGTAAGTTTTAATTTGATTAAAATTTAAGTTGATATTACGAACGATGAAAGCGAAATCCTGTTTTAACCACTAATACATACTTGTTGTAAAAGTAATGCTGGAATTATGTATAGAGCTTTCTTTTGTAATAAAAGAAAGATTTGAGAATAATTTTACACAAGCAGGACATTGTGAATTATGCCTTTTAAAATAGTGTAATGTTTTCATGTAAATCAACTTCTGTCAAATATTGCTCATACTGCACACTACTTGTATTATTTCTGCAGTAAGTTCACAGTGCATAGTATGCAAATGTTTGCTTCTAACTATATTTACCAGAATTTGAATACTGTATCCCAAAATGCAATGCACTTGACTTTCCATTTCAACTTTACAGTTAGTATCTGAATGTTGTCAAATTAACCAAATATTCAACATAAGTTAATGTTCTCGGGACTGAATATGCAAGGCAGTGTTTCTTTTGTTTTTGCAGCATTCATACTCCAATGTTAGTAAAGGAATAGTTCACCCAAAAATGAGAATTTGCTGAAAATGTGCTCACCCTCAGGCCAACCAAGATGTAGATGAGTTTGTTTCTTCATCAGATTTAGAGAAATGTAGCGTTGCATCACTTGCTCACCGATGGATCCTCTGCAGTGAATGGGTGCCGTCAGAATGAGTCCAAACAGCTGATAAAAACCACAATAATCCACATGACTGCAGTCCATCAGTTAATGTCTTGTGAAGTGAAAAGCTGTGTTTGTAAGAAACAAATCCATCATGAAGATGTTTTTAACTTCAAACCGTTGCTTCAGGCTAAAATACGAGTTCATAATAAAGTCCATCCCCTGTTTTGAACCGTTTTCGCTGGTGCTTGATCTGTATATTTCTCTCCTGATTCAGACAAATATGACTTTTTCACTAAATTGACTAGATTTTACCCGTGAAAATTCACTGAACAGCGGTGTAGGCTATTAAAAACATGTTCTGATAAAGTTTTGTTAACATTTCCATTAAGTCGAGAAAACAAGTTCTAAATGTTCTCTGAAAGTTCAAAATGTCCAGTTTTTTTTTCTTGGTTATATAAACATTACAGGCAACATTAAGGGAATGTTCCATTTTATAATTTTGCAAACATGATGGGAATGTCATTTTTGAATGTTCTCTGAAACTATTAAGTCCAACTAACTAGAAAAAACGTTCCATAAGCAACGTTTTTGTACTAAAGTTTTGAGAATGTTACTAAAGACCAACAACCCTATTGGCAAAGGGCATCTCAGGAACCACACTGTAATGGTTTGAGTCTTATCTCTCAGATTGGTCCTTCAAGGTATCTTGGAGGGGTGAGGTGTTCAAGTCGCAACATCTAACTATTGGGGTGCCTCAGGGCTCAGTACTTGGACCACTTCTCTGTCTACAAGGCATCACTAGGTTCTGTCATTCAGAAACATGGCTTTTCATATCACTGCTATGCTGATGACACTCAACTCTACCTCTCATTCCATCCTGATGATCCGAAGATAGCTGCTTGCATCTCAGCTTGTCTAACACACATTTCTTACTGGATGAAGGACCATCACCTTCAACTCAACCTTGCCTTGCCTTGTGGTTCCATCAAACCCATTGTTTCATCACAGTTTCACCAGACACATCAACCATAACTCCTTCAAAAACCGCTAGAAACCTTGGAGTTATGATTGATGATCAGCTTACTTTCTCAGACCACATTGCTAAAACTGTCCGGTCCTGCAGATTTGCTCAGAAGATCAGGCCCTTTCTTTCGGAACATGCTTCACAACGCCTTGTTCAAGCTCTTGTTCTGTCCAGGCTGGACTATTGCAATGCTCTCTTGCTTTCACAGACTTTTACATTAACTGTTCCCTCCTGGTGGAATGACCTGCCCAACTCAATCCAAGCAGCTGAGTCCTTAGCCATCTTCAAGAATCGGCTAAAACTCTTCCATCTTTATTTGACCCTCTAACTCTAACACTCTCTATTCTAATTCTATTCTTTATACAAAAAATAAAAATAAAAAACTTGCCCCTTTTAGACTTGCAGTCTATTTATTTACTAACTGCTTATTTTCTTTAAAAAAAAAACTAACACTTGCTTTTCTAATCTTTTTGTATTCTATTTGTTTTCTTTTCATTTATTATACAATTAACAAAAGCAAAAAAAAAAAGGCCTCTAACACTAGCTTGCTCTATTCTATCTGTTTTCTTTTTATGTATTATATAATAATAATAATAATAAAACCCTTGCTACATGTACTGCATTAATCTAACTGCGACTTGTTATAGCACTTGTATATCATTGCTCTTGTTGATTTTGATTGCTTCTATTGTCCTCATTTGTAAGTCGCTTTGGATAAAAGTGTCTGCTAAATGAATAAAAGACTTTTACATTAACTGTTCCCTCCTGGTGGAATGACCTGCCCAACTCAATCCAAGCAGCTGAGTCCTTAGCCATCTTCAAGAATCGGCTAAAACTCTTCCATCTTTATTTGACCCTCTAACTCTAACACTCTCTATTCTAATTCTATTCTTTATACAAAAAATAAAAATAAAAAACTTGCCCCTTTTAGACTTGCAGTCTATTTATTTACTAACTGCTTATTTTCTTTAAAAAAAAAACTAACACTTGCTTTTCTAATCTTTTTGTATTCTATTTGTTTTCTTTTCATTTATTATACAATTAACAAAAGCAAAAAAAAAAAGGCCTCTAACACTAGCTTGCTCTATTCTATCTGTTTTCTTTTTATGTATTATATAATAATAATAATAATAAAACCCTTGCTACATGTACTGCATTAATCTAACTGCGACTTGTTATAGCACTTGTATATCATTGCTCTTGTTGATTTTGATTGCTTCTATTGTCCTCATTTGTAAGTCGCTTCGGATAAAAGCATCTGCTAAATGACTAAATGTAATGTAATGTAAAGACCAGCTAAGTTTGAACCAATGTTCTATTAGAATTAACGGACAAACATAGTCAGAACGTTCCCTGTCGGCTCTTTGATTTCTACTGCGGTGCAGTTTGGTCACCCGGGAACTAGAATAAGAAATAGGATGGGATTTAGCACTTAGCTAGTACGTTTAAATAACAATTCTCATGTTGTAACGAGACGGTGTGTGATTTAAGGCGGTTGCATTGTTCTTAGTGTAATATAGCAAACAATTACCCAGACAGCAGCTGCAGCGGTTTCACCTGATAACGTTACTTTACTCGGTATTTTTGTAGACGATATTTCAAGCGTCTAACGTTACACAAAATGTGCCCCCCTTCTAGTCAACAGTTATTTGCGTCCAATTTGGGTTAGTGTGAGTTGGTGGTGCCTCTGTGCGTTAGAGGGCGCTGTGTGTGTGTGTGTGAGTGAGTGAGTGAGTGAGTGAGTGAGTGAGTGTGTGTGTGTGTGGTTTGACTCTGCTGTAATGTCATCGGGTGTGTATTATATCGTGGACTAGAGACCGCCATCCAATGTAATGGTAAGTCGCTGATGCGTGCTGCAGTGTTGAGCTGATTGAGCTCCAGTCACGTCGTTTGGATGATCGTTCACTGCTCTCTTCGGTCGTTTCCCCCTTTTGCGCGTCAGTGTGAATATCGATATGTTTTATTTTTGGATGAGCAGACTTCGGTTCACAGCAGACCGTCCGAGTAAAGCTGAAGTGCATCGGTTCGTGTTGTTTGCTGTTAGCCAGCGCGCTAATTCCAGCAGAACCGATGTGATCCAGGACGCTTTGAGTGACTATAAAGCAGATGCCAGTTAAACAGAACTGAATTGTATGCGTATGTAATAATTTCAGGCGCTGGAGCATTTATTTCTTGCAGCCCGCTGTTTTATAGGAGAATAAAAAGGTGGTTTTTGCATCACGTGAGTGAATTAGATTAGATAGAACATTTAAAACCATAAAAAGAAGTCAAACATTTCGATGAACGATTAAAGGGTTTGTTTAGGGTTGAAGGTTATGTTTTTGTACGCATTTAATACTAAATAGAAATGTTACTAAGTGTTGCTGTTCTTGCCCCGCCCCCTCTTTAGTCATTTTTACGCTGCTAGTAATTTTTTTTACAGTATTTTTGTACTAATTTATTGTATCAATAATTGTATAATAATATTCACTCATTTTAACTGAGTTTAGTAAAGTGAAAATTGCAACCATTAGGCCTACTACTTTTATTCGGCGATAAATGTCGAGATTTACGAGGGTTACGAACGTGTGGGCGTGGTTTATTGAAATATGGGCGTGGTTTGTTGTAATATGGGCGTGGTTTATCCGTGTTTACGAGAGACTGGCGACAACAAAAGTGTTGTGAAAATAATGATTTTTTTTTTTTTGGTAGTTCCTTGTAGTTCAGACAGCGTTTACACGACACCGATTTTAACTAAAAACAAAAAGCCATTAATTTACACGACAGTGACATTTTGGGGGCCTGAAAACACAAACTTTTGAAAATCGTGCAAGTTTTTGTAAATGATACTGTTATTGTCTCCGTGTTAACTACAAAAACATGAATTTGTGAAAATGGCGACGTCATGCGCTAACATATTTGTGACCCTGGAGCACAAAAGCAGTCTTAAGTCGCTGGGGTATATTTGTAGCAATAGCCAAAAATACATTGTATGGGTCAAAATGATTGGTTTTTCTTTTATGCCAAAAATCATTAGGATATTAAGTAAAGATCATGTTCCATGAAGATATTTTGTACATTTCCTACTGTAAATATATCAAAACTTAATGTTTGATTAGTAATATGCATTGCTAAGAACTTCATTTGGACAACTTTAAAGATGATTTTCTCAATATTTAGATTTTTTTTCACCCTCAGATTCCAGATTTTCAAATAGTTGTATCTCGGCCAAATATTGTCCTATCCTAACAATTGATTTATTCAGCTTTGAGATGACGTATACATCTCAATTTTGAAAAACGGACCTTCTGACTGGTTTTGTGGGCCGGGGTCACATATTGTTTCTTTACAAAGTGACATCGCCAACTACTGGCCTGGCATGAAGAATGCAGCAAACTTTTCAGAAATGCAAAGGAAAAACATTTCTGGTTTTAGTACTTTGTTGTTGTGTCAATGTACCCTTTAAACACCATTGTTGAGCAAGAAATTGACGAGGGTGAAGGTTTGGCTGGTTATCATAGTCCCGGTAGCCTTGTGTCTGCATCATTATCATTACAGAAACAGGAAATGTTTTTTTCGGGGACTTCCTGCTAATGTCTAATAAATCATTTCCTTGCCTTTGCAGGTGTAATTGAAGCAGGTCTTAAGATGCTGCTCTCTTTGGGGATGCTGATGCTCTCTGCCACACAGATTTACACCATTTTCACGGTTCAGATATTTGCCTTCCTCAACCTCCTGCCCGTGGAGGCCGACATATCCGCTGTAAGCTTCTGACACACGGACAGCAACAGCAAACTCAGATGCATTTAAACACATGGTTGGCAGACAGTAATTCATGGGTGCGTTTGTTTTTCAGTATTCATTCGACAATAAGACGGAGAACTTTGATGATTTGCCAGCTCGATTTGGCTACAGGCTGCCCAGTGAAGGACTAAAGGTGAGCTGGCTGCATGACATTGATGACAGACACAATGTTTAAAATAAATAGCCTTTCTGTCCAGTGGTTCTGTTCCAAACCCTAATGAGTGCCCTTACTACAAACTACATTCACTAGATCGCTCGGTTATGATCTGCCATTATTTTGCTGCAGCTTGATTAAGGATTTTTTTTTTTATTTGAGTAAAGCAAGATTCCCTGTTAAAATCTTGAAGTTTATTAAAAATGCAAAGGCAAGCCATGACTTTTATGCCTGATAGGTGTGATTTGATCATTTTATAATAACCTAATTATGTTTATTATATTAACTGCAATTACTGTTATACGTTTAAATTTGTTTAATTCAATTTGTTTACATTTTAATTAAACATGCAAATTTCATGTGTAGTTTTTTTCTTTATTTTAATATTTGTATATTATTCAGAAATATTTTTGGACATCATAGGTTAGATCACCTTAATAACATCAATAAATATTACTTTACTGTGTATAATACAATATTCAGGTTGGCTGGATTAATGTGAAGTGCACTAAATACATATAGAAAGATTTTAATTATTTGAAAATATAAAATAAAACATACTTGCAAATAATATATAAATAATTAACTACCGTTTAAAAGTTTACGGTCAGTGCGTTTTATTTGCTTGTTTGTTGTTTATTTATTTTTATTTTAATTTTTTAAAATAGTAATATTTTTATTCAGCAAAGATGCATTAAATTGATCAAAAGTGACAGTAAAGACATTTATAATGTTACAAAAAAATCTAGTTCAAATAAACGCTGTTCTTTTGAACTTTCTATTGATCATAAAATCAACATCCTGAAAAAAAAAATGTATCTCAAGTTTCCATAAAATTATGAAGCAGCTCAGCTGTTTTCAACATTGATAATAATAATAAATAAAAAGAAAAAAAAAGTTTCTTGAGCAGCAAATCGTCATATAACAATGATTTCTGAAGGATCATGTGACACTGAAGACTGGAGGAATGATGCTGAAAATAGAGTTTATGCAAACGTCAGCTGTTCCAGATTGTTTTCCAGCACCCAGATGGCGTAAAGGGGGTTAAAAAAAGATGTTTTGACCTGACCCCCAGACCTGGTAGCAGCACTGACCCTGATCCATGTGACGAGTGGAGACGATTGACCCAAAACCCGCTCCACGTCTCCGCTAATGTGAAATCTTACTCTCATCTGCAGAGCTGATGACCTCAAAGCAGAAGCTCTAATGACGAAGATGTGCAAAACTACTGATTTACACCATCAGTTGCCTGAATGACTGGTCGATCGTGAGGAAGCACTGTATAATTTGCTCGTGTAGGGTCCATCAGAATCCAGTGAGATGTGTTTTTAAGAGATGCTTGGATGATAACCGCTGCCCTTTAATAGTATAACTGGCTGATATTCAACAAGTAAATGGACTAAATTACTAAAATCTTTTAAAGAAGCAGTCTGTCTTAGTCCTCACCAAAAACAGAACATTTGTTACAGCAGTTGCGACAGTAAATGTCCAGGAATGTATTGTTGAAGGTGGTGAGCTTGTTACGGCTTTGATGGCTGTAATGGCGCTAATTTAAGGGTTTTTAGACAGTCTGACAGTTTGAAACGCTAGAGAACGCTCTGACGGAGCAGAGTAAAGGCTGGAATACACTACACGACTTTTAAAATCGGAACAGATTTTGAAACGCTAGACATCACGACAGAGGGTCTCACACACCGCCAGACTTTAAAGTTGTTCCGATCACAACAAACTCATGCCGAAACGTGTGCCTTGTTATGTGTCAACTTCTCCAGACTGTAAATCGGGGCAAAAGTCGTGTAGTGTATTCCAGCCAAAATGCCTTGGAAAGTGTGGAAGGATCCGAGTCCAATTAAAATCATGCAAGAATACAGTAAATTTCCAAATGTACAACTGGCTGCTCAACACATGGCTGCAATGCAAGTTAACAAAGGCAAAGTTTTCTCGTTTGGTCACATGACAGAGAATCAGTGTCGCAAACCCTTGCGTTTTCTATCTACGTCCTAAATTAGTGTCCACACCAATGTAAAATAACGTTCTTATTATAAGTGTGCACTGATGTTATATTGACTGCAGCTTAAAAACCCTGTTCACACCCAGAATGATAACTATTAAGATAACTATAACAATAGCTATATTAGCGTCCTAACCAATGTAAAATAACGTTCTTATTATAAGTGTGCACTGATGTTATGTCAAGAATGATTACCATTAAGATAACTATAACGATAGCTATATTAGTATCTACAACAATGGACGATAATTATAAGAGTCGTCTGCCACTACTAAATCCTGTTCACACCAAGGACGCTAACTATTAAGATAACTGTAATGATAGCTATATTAGCGTCCACACCAACGGACAATAACGTTCTGTTTACTATAAGCTGCATTTTTCTCCCGCTGCAGTTTGCCTCTAATTGTTCTGAAAGTGATTCGAACAATATTGTTCCTCAGTGTCGTTATCGTTATATTTGCAGTGCAGACTGTGCTATTCTCGTAGAATTAGAGCAATTATTAAAACTTTATAGTTACTGTTATAGTCATCGTCCTTGGTGTGAATGACCCATAAAGTTGAGGTTACATTTATCGTTGATCAGTGAAATTCCGCAAGCGAATGCTATGAAATGCGACAACAAAATAAACATCCAAAGCCATTCTGACAGCTAGCAAACGAACCAACCCCAAATAACTGCTTTCCAAATAGATAATTTTATAATATTGCATGTTACAGAAATGGATTATGGATATTCATTTTTGCTTTGTTGCTAAGTTACGCATCTCCACCCACACCAACGTTACTGCTTAACCAAGAGACTTGCTGTTGGTCAGTGCTGCACATTCGAGTGTCAAAATTCACCACATTTGAACCCAACGCAAAATTTGTAGGGA